GGCAGTCAGCACAGAGCCCGACGCGGGGCTCGAACCCACGAACCGCGAGATCATGACCTAAGCGAAAGTCGGACGCTTAACCGACTAAGCCACCCAGGCGCCCCTGGATCCATTTTTTTCTTAAAACATGTCATTTAAAAGAAAATGCAAAAGTTTTACTATCTTATGAGAAGTGAAAGAAATAAGTTTAGGTAGGGAAGTTTAAAGCCTAAAGAAATGTTTGTTAAAGCCCCAAACTTGACAACCCACTTCCTGTTGTTTTTTTTTTTTTTTGTAAGTTTGTTTGTTTATTTTGAGAGAAAAGGAGAGTGTAAGCAGGGGAGAGGCAGAGAAAGAGAGAGAGAGAAGAGGGAGAGAGAATCCAAACAGGCTCTGTGCTCATGGGGCCTGGATCAATCCATCCATTGTGAGATCATGACTTGGGCTGAAACCCGAGAGTTGGATGCTTAACTGAATGAACCACCCAGGCGCCTCCCACTTCTTGATTTTTTAAAATAACCATCTCATGCCAAAGCAATGCCATGACGAGAATTTATAAATTTATTTGATAGGGTTTCTGCTGACCCTGGACAGATTTACAAGTGGCTTATGATTTTCTCTTAAATTTTTATAATTTCCTTCCAGATGCCATTCGTGCAATATTAGTGTACAGTCAAAGTGTAGAAGAACTTTTGAGGCGCAAGAAAATCCACCGAGAAGTCATATTTAAATACTTGGCAACACAGGGGGTTATTATACCTCCAGCTACTGAAAAACATAGTCTTATTCAGCATGCAAAGGATTACTGGAAAAAGCATTTACAGCCGAAATTGAAGGAAACACCAGAGCCAGTTAAGACAGAGGACATTAGACTCTTTCAACAGGTAAAAACAGATCTTATAGTTATATCCTAAGATATAATTCTGTCTAAAGTCTTAGATAATCCTAGATCTGCCGGAACATGGCTAATAATATTTTGGTTTCTATGATTTTAGCTTTACTTCATTTCCTTTGCATCCTAAAGGAAGATCAGTAAAGCACTTAAAAGAAATATTTCTGACATGTAGTAATATATAAAAAAGACTATTGATTTGTGAGGGAAAAAATGCTTTTATCACTATCAAATGAGGACTATTGGATTTATAACAAGAGTGGGTAAACTGCAATATCAATTTTAATTTAACTTCTGATTCACCGTAATATTTTTATTCACTTTAAAAGAATGCTATTATAAGCCTTTTCTCATTTTGAAGACTTTCTTTGATTTTAATTTGATACTAGATTGTAAAAATTTCATGAGAAAAACTTAAGTATTACATTTGATTTTTTATTTTTATTTTTTAGCTAGAAAAGAATTCTCTTGTAATAATTTCCTTCAGCTGACATTGGCTGTTTCAGTTTCTTTGTATCTCCACTGTACATTTTAGATGCGTGAATATTTAAATTTTGATTATATGAATGCTAAATAGTTTGCAAATTTTAAACTACATACTTTGAATTACTGAAGTTTTACAGTGAGAAGTATTTGCTTTCTTATTAGGAAAGAACCTAAGCTTTTTTAGTGTGCTAAAAATGATGTTGACTCTGAAATCATATGGATCTGACTTAAAAATAGGGTGTGCCATATGCTAAGTGTGAACTTCAGCAAGTAACTTGACCTTTCTGAGCCCTGTTTACTTTATCTATACAGCCCACATAATGATAGTATCTATGTCACAAGGCTCTTGAAGATAGAAGGAAATAAAAACCTAAGTGCCAAGTACAGAGCCTAATATATTCTATCACAGGTGCTCAGTCAACACAAGATCTCTTACCATCAAAATGAGTTACTATGCTCTGGAATACATAGATGAATAAAATCTAGCTTCTCAGGTATATTTTTGCAATAACATTTCCTTTGAGAAAAAAGAGCAATAACAATAAAAATCAATCCTAATCCTAAAAAGTAATGTATTTCAATCATACTAGAATTGTCTGTTTAAAGATCGTGAATATGCTCATTTATTATCTACGTTATTGTAGTACAGTTTATAATCAACAGTGGATGCATTTAAAGCATACAGTTTGAAAGTTTTGACAGACATTTGTGAAACCACGGTCACCATCAAAAGAAAATGCTTATGTAAAGCATTATTGACTGTTTATGGTATTTTGAGAGGCTTTGTAACCTTAATTTCTTAGCTGAATTTTCATACGTTTGAGCTGGGAAATTCTAAAATGATTTTTCTCCCTTTTTGGAGAAACACTTGACTGTGCATGATTATTTCACCTGTAATTCATTTAGCTTCTGCTGGACTCTGTATATTCAAACTTCGCTCTAAAACAGTCAAGATAGAACAATATGAGAAGTAACCTTGGTTTTATTTTATATTTTATTAATCAGCAGGAAAAAGAAGATAAAAATGCTGAAAAAGTTGATTTTCGTCGATTAGGAGAAGAATTCTGTCACTGGTTCTTTGAGCTTCTTAATTCTCAGAATCCTTTTCTGGGACCACCTCAAGATGAATGGGGGCCACAGCACTTCTGGCAAGATGTCAAGCTTAGGTTTTACTACAACACCTCTGAACAAAATGTGATAGACTACCATGGAGCGGAAATTGTAAGCCTTCGTCTGCTGTCACTAGTGAAAGAAGAGTATCTTTTTCTCAGTCCCAACCTAGATTCCCAGGGACTGAAATGTGCTTCTTCTCCCCATGGTCTAGTTATGGTTGGAGTTGCTGGGACTGTCCACCGAGGGAACACTTGTTTGGGCATTTTTGAACAAATTTTTGGACTCATACGCTGCCCTTTTGTGGAAAATACTTGGAAAATCAAATTTATCAATCTGAGAATTATTGGAGAGCATTCTCTTGCTCCTGGAACATTAATGAAACCAGCTATTACATTCGAATCTAGTGATCTAGAGGCCTTTTATAATGTAATTACTTTATGTGGTACCAACGAAGTTCAACTTAATGTAAGGCAGGCATTGGTTAGTGGAACTGGGGACCAAGCTTTACGCAGTGGTGATGAGGCATTGGTGAACAGAAGAGAACTGAGTTTACCCAACCCTCTAAAGCATTGAGCACTGTATATCAGTCTAAAAAACCTTCTATACAGAAACTCGTCCAAATATCACATCAGTAATGTTTAAGTGATTTCAGATGGGGAGGATCGACCTATTTTAGTTGAAATATCTTTCTTGACTACAGACTAATATATTATGTGAATACTTGCCTCTTTCTACCTGAGTTGGAGCAGATGTTCTGAGAGCTTAATGCAGTTCATCAAATAAATCCCACTTTAGATGGTATAACTAACGGTGTGCCTTAGAAACCAGGTAATACTGTCATTTTACTTAGTGAGTATTCTGATATCTGTACTTTTCATGTGAGACAGATTTGATGTAAACTCAAAAGTTATTTTAGGAAGCTTGAATAACATTCTCACTCAAAAAGTCCGATAATTTAGCAGGTAGATAAAAATTTGCTTTGCCTTTTTAAAATTTGAGGAACATTTTTCAAAAGTTAACTGTAGTAGTCCAAGCTGATCTAAACCTTCAGCTAATAGTTTTATAGAGCATTTATTGTAATATCATATAAATGAGACATACTGTTGACATTTTTAAAAAGGTGTGCGCAGTTCCTTTATTTACTGTTTTCCTCTTGATTGATCTTGGAAGAGGTGACAAAAACCCAAAAAACAAAACACATACACAAATTTATACCATGGATATCTATTATATACATATATACACATATATATATGTATTCCCACATCATAAATTAAAATTATTAGGATTTTTCACCCCTAAATTGTCAATAGTTTTGAATTACAAGATTAAATTGCCAGATTAATTACATAGTTGCTTTAGGGTTTAAATTCTTAATCACCTGGCAACTATTTGCTGATCTTGGATTTAGTGATTTTAATTTACAAAAATGCCGTATGGAAATAATTCAGCTGGGAATTTTTGTGATGGTGTGCTCTACATGTTAAATTTTTACCTTTAACTCTTCTCATGATCATCTCGGGTAACAGTTTTTGGAAGCAAGAGGAAAAAACTCATCTTTTTTTGTTTTTTTTTTTAATGCCATGCCTTTATGAGGAGTACAAATTGATATGTCTTAAAATAAGAACTTAATAAAGGAGGCAAATCCCTTGTCTGCTCTAAAAGTAGTGTATTGTTTAGATTTAAAGCCAAGTTATGGTTTTCTCCTTTAAGTATAGAGTATCATTATAACATGCACTCAATAAATATCCTAAGTAAAGGATAAAATTAAAAAGTATTCCCATCTGTTTTCTTTATGGCTTAATGTCGAGTACTACAGAAATATTACTACAGATGCTCAGGATGGGCCGAAGTTGCCTCTAGCTACCTTCAGTATTAACTTTTTTGAATTTGTGTAATGCTCAAGTCAGGTTGCCATCTCTGTTCTTTTAATCAACCTTAGGAATTTGAAGTCTTCCTGACAGACTCTCTCACTTGAGGATTGGAATTATGATTTATTTTCTATGAATCTCCACAAGTGGGCAAAACAGTAGGACCTAATGTTTTAACTGAATGGGTGAAAGAATGAGCAAAAGAAGCTTACGTACAGTGTGTACGTAACTTTTCTGCATGTAGATTTTGTCTTTGGTTCTTCTCACTGGTGGTTTGTTGATCATTTCATCTGTTTGAATTTCATATGTGGAAACTCAGAAACTTTTAGGATCCAAGCTAACTCAGATTTAGGGAAAATTTTAACCTTTTAAAATTTACTAAATGTAAAAGCCCTAGGGTCAGAATGGGATAAACTGGAAGGTCCTACCCATTATAGAAATGTATACTTTTCTATTCAGAGGAAGAAGACCTGGAGATTCTTGAAATTTATTCGTGAAGTTTAAAGTTTGGTCAGGTCTTTGAGGAGGTCCCAAAGCATAGTGCAGATTGAACTGTACTTTTGCTACCATCCATTTGTTTATGTTAGGGAATGACAGACCCCAGCTTTAGGTTTTTGCTTCATTTCATCCTCAGCTGGAGTTCGAAAGTTTTTGGAGTCAAGTAGTAAAGAATACAACACTTTACACATAATTCATAGTAATCGAGTAGTCTAGCCAGGGGGGCAGCTGGTCTTTATTTACTGTAGACTGATTTGCCATAGCCTAATAATGGGTCATACATCAAGTACTCGTTCTCGTTAATATAGCTTAAAGTAATAGTTGCATTGGGATGTTTCATTAATATCTAGAATGCCAAAAAAATTTTAATAATTCTTATTAACTAAAATACCAAATAATACAAAAAAGCCATCTCTGTTTTATGAAATCAACTTGTAAAAGGCCAGTGTAAGAAATGTTCCTATTTTTTCAGAAAGGTAATATTCTTATGCTAAAGGAAGGCTAGTTACCCAGTGCCTGTAAGAAATTGTAGTAGTACCAGGAAAAGATTTAAAGAATAGTGGCGTGGGGATGCCTGGGTAACCCAGTCAGTTAAGCAGCTCAGGTCATGATCTCACAATTCATGGGCACGAGCCCCACATCAGGCTCTGCTAACAGCTCAGAGCCTGGAGCCTGTTTCAGATTCTGTGTCTCCCTCGCTTTCGTTCTGCCCCTTCCCTGCTTGCTCACACTCGCTTGCTCGCTCTCTCTCTCAAAGATAAATAAACATTTAAATAAATTTTTTAAAAAAGCTTAATTAAAATAATATTGTGTTTTTAAAAAATGCCTTTTATGGCTAAGTAGATAAAAATGAAAACTAACATTTTTATTAGCATCTGTACTCACTTCTTTAGATGCCTTTTTCTTCACTAGTTCTTAATTTGGGCTGTGGCTAGTGGTCATCAACTTTTGAAAAATTAGAGCTGTATGTTCTTTCTCCCAGAAAAAAAAGTGTTTGCATTATATTTTACAATTTTTCCATTATTTCAGTGAGTTTATGAGCTTCCCTGAAGCACATCTGTGAATCCTGTTAAGGATCCGTATACTCCATGTTAAAATCCTGCTAATAAGTTATATTCTCTCAGGTTATTATTGGAATCTAAAATTATTTTTAGAAAATTTTGTACCCTTGCCAGAGTCCCTAAACTGGAGGACTAAATCTTTATGAATGAAAGGATAATCTCTAGGAAATCTGTTAGTTTATGGTAATTGTTAATTTGTGGATTTTGTTTTTCAAAAGATGTCAAATATTAAGACAAAACCCACTGAAATACTGTCAAGTGAAACAAAAATCTTCAGAATTCATTTTATTTTGGCAAGATATATTTAATGAACACACTTCAGAGAAAGTGTGAGAGAAAAATGTGAAAAGTATTAAAATTATCTGATCTTTACAAAAAATTATCCCAACATGTTTGTTTAGTAGTGACTGTATACTGCTAATTTTGATGAAATAGGATCATTTCCTCTAAGGGCTTATATATGTGATCTCACCTTATACCTTCCCTCTTGCCTCACCCCTCCCTATTTGTAATCTTTGGATATACTCAGTTTGAATGCAGATAGCATAACTACAAGTGCTGGGAAATAAGACGTTCTGCATCTGGGTTCTCTTCCAAGTTTATTTGGCATATATTTATGGAGCATCTATAATTTGTAAGTCCCTGAGTCAAGCGCAAGATAGAATAATACATCAATAGGTTATTTACCTAAACCTTGTATGTTAAATTTCAGTTTCTGGGTTTAAATATTTTTTCCCAATTTTTTAAAGTTTATTTGTTTATTTTGAGAGCGTGTGAGCAGGGGAGGGGCAGGGAGAGAGGGGGAGAATCCTAAGTAGGTTCCGTGCTGCCACCACAGAGCCTGACGTGGGTCTTGAACTCACAAACTGAGATCATGACCTACACTGAAACCAAGAGTTGGACCCTTAACTCATTGAGACACCCAGGCACCTCTCTGGGTTTAAATATCTTAAGGTGAGAACTACTTGAGGCCCTTTTCAGAAGGCTGTGGTTATATCCTTTTATATGGGTCAGGAGAAAGGAACGCTCTGTTCAAATTTTAGATAGCTGTGTGGCCCTAGCTATGCCATATTGATTATATCAATGTAGAATATAGGATGTTTTGACAGACCACTTGGAGTTGGAAGGAAAATATTTGCAATGCACTAAATCTTTTTAGCTTTATTTTTTTCTAGTTTGAACCTTTCCAGTAGTCCTTCAGTAAAACATTAATATTAAAATGGTGTATTAGGGGCCCCTGGGTGGCTCAGTCTGTTGAGTGTCTGACTCTTGATCTCAGCTCAGGTCATCATCTCACAGTTCATGGGATCAAGCCCCGTGTCAGGCTGTCTGCTGACAGCATCGAGCTTGTTTGGGATTCTCTCTCTCCCTCTCTACCCCATCCACTCACTCTCAAAAATAAACAAAAAAGTAAAATAAAATGAGGTACTGTATTTACTGTGACGTATAATGTACCCCCAAATATTCAACCATAAGCTTCGGAGTCATGTTAGTCATGCAGTTAATCTATTTCAGCTGCTGCTATAATTAGAATTTCATTAGACATTAATAATTCATTTCTTTAATATATTTTACATATTTATAACATTAAAATTTCCTTAAAGTGCAGCTTTTGTCCTATCCTCCATACTCAGGCTTTAAGTAGTGTTTTATTACCTCCAAAATAAAGTCTAGGTTTTATAGTCTGTTTCACCATCTACGTTTGGTTTCACTCATTTTTCATGTGGTGTTTGGTCTAGCCAACAGCTGCTATTAAATAGTCTTAATATTTGTCTTGTATTTACTTAGCTCTTTGCTTTTATTGACACTACTTGACTTTCAGTGGTTCGATGTAGGATTTTTCAACTTTACAAGGTTTTCAGTTTCAATTTATGAAATTGAAATATATTCAGTAGAAATGATACTTTTTTTAAAAAGTTTTACTTATTTAATCTCTACATTCCATGTGGGGCTCGAACTCACAACCCCAAGATCAAGAGTCACATGCTCCTCTGTCTGAACCAGCCAGGCACTCCAGTACAAACTGTACTTTGAAGTTTGAACTTTGTTCTTCTCACAGGCTGGAGATATGAGGGACAATAGGTGCTGGGAGGCAGCAGGGAACCGTTATCTCCCAGTTAGCCATGCAATCACAAGGGTAAGCAACCAATATACTTAAAGCCATTCTGTATCCATATGGTCATTGTTTTTCACTTTCATACAGTATTCAATAAATTACATGAGATATTCAATGCCTTATTATAAAATAGGCTTTGTGTTAGATGATTTTGCCGTACTGTAGGCTAATAAAAGTGTTCTGAGCACATTTAAGTGAGGTTAGGCAAAGGTAAGATGTTCAATAGTTCCTAACCTATTAAATACATTTTTAACTTAATGGTATATTGGGTTTCTTGGGACATAATCCCATCATAAGTCAAGATAGGTCTATAAAATATAGTTGGAGTTTAATTTTTTTGTTGTTGCAGTTTGATAATATAGAATTAAAAGGGCTATGATTGACATAATTTGAAAACTGGAAATTTCTTTAAGTCAAGCATTTTTTCTCTTTAGGTCTTTTGTGTACATTATCTAGAATAATTTTTCCCTAGCTTTCCAGATCATTGCTTAAGTTTTATCTTTGAGGGGTTGTCTTAAATGTTTTCTTCTAAGTGGGCCCTATTGTTAATATTTATCAGAGCACCTTGTTTATTTCAGTCTTAGCACTTTAAATATTTACTGACTTGTTAATCTCAACTAGATTTTAAACTGAGAGCAGAGACTGTAGCTGTTTGACTTTCATTTTATTTCCATTGCTTTTTAGAGAGATTAGGTATTCAACTGATATTTATTAAAGATATAAATAAAGGAAAAAGCGATACTTTTGGAGCCTTCTATATTCCTGGTCCTTTGACTGTCTGCTAACGACAGTGCCTAACATATGTATTAGGTGCTCAATAAATATTTGTTTAATAAATAAAACCAAAGTTATTTTTCTGATTAATGATATATGAGCTCTAAAACAACCAACAATACTCTATTAGATAGGCTTTTTAAAGTTTTATTATACCTTTGTAAAAATTGAAATGGAGGCCCCAAAAGTTATGTGCTGAAGTTCACATAATTTTATTGTGGGTTTTTCCCCACCTCTGGCTTTTTTTGTGTGTTTAAACTACAAAGTCTCTTTCCTTCCACTTTATTTCTAGTCTGACTATTGCTACTACCTTATTTTGAAAGAATTTAAACTCTAATTCTCAATGTCTTTACATGTAAAAATGAACAGTTAGATTAGATGATATCGAAACTGCTGTTTGAAGTGACATGGTTTTGTGAATGTACACCTTCCTGGCAACTAAAGAATATTACTTTTAAACGAATTTGTAGTCCATTTGAAGTTGAAGAAATTCTTTATTATTTTGCTTGCTCATAAATCATGTTCCTGAGTAAACACTTTTTATTTTTTTTCCTAACAAATACACATTTGTAAGTATATGTATATTGTGTGTGTATTTCTATTTATGGAGGGAAAAACAAAAGGATGAAAGTATTACACATCAGGGGCGCCTGGGTGGCTTAGTTGGTCAAGCGTCCGACTTTCGCTTAGGTCATGATCTCCCAGTTCGTGGGTTCGAGCCCCACGTCAGGCTCTGT